AAGATAAAACTTTTGATGAAAGTGACTTTGATGATGAAGCATACTATGCAGCTTTGGGAACTAGGCCACCTATTAATATGGAAGAATTGGATGAATCATACCAGAAAGTAATTGAACTCTTCTCTGTATGCACTAATGAAGACCCTAAAGACCGTCCTTCTGCTGCATGCATTGTTGAAGCTTTGGAAATAGAGGTCCAGTATTAAGTATGCCCTATGTATATAACTCTTTACTCTGACACATTTATATAGTTACTTTACTGATCTGTAGTTAGTTATTAGACTCCTTGGAGGTGGCCTATTTGAGGACCATAGTATTTTGGTAACATTTGAGTAACTATTTCTAATATATTTCATATAAGCTTATGATAAGCTCCTGGAATTGTACTGGGTTTTCTCTGAGACTAGTTACATAGTACTTTGTATTGTTCACGCAGACTTAAAACACTAGCAATAAAATGCTGTAAAATGTTTAACATTAATTTGAATTGAATGACCATTACTTTTATTAATAATCTTTCTCAAAAACTCTCTATTTTAATGGATGTATTCAAATTAGCACTTTCTACAGGACAAAATAAGCCTACATTTGTTTGTATTTTAAAACATCAAACCTTTTACTGGCCTTCCTTGGCTGATGTGCTTATTAACAGAGTATGACTCAAAAGAGTAGCTCTTTGGATAGTCCAGACTTTGGCTACAGCTTGTCTTGCTTTCTTGGATGTTCTCAGATCTTTGTTTTTTGCTTTATTAAATGTATTTCATATTTTGTATTGAGATTTTTTTATTTTACTAATCTATATCTTCAGTACTTCAAGTCTGGTGTAAAAATAATAGAACCTAAATAGGGTACTATAGAATAAAGGATACCTTTGGTTCCAGAAGTTATCTCAGCATTATCTTTCTGTGTACTATTGAGTGTGTTGTCATTAAACATATTAAATAGATATCAGTAGGTTTCTTTCCCTTTCTTGACTATTTTGCTAATCTGCAAAATGAAGTTGGTTTGGATCAGTAGTTTTTGTAAGCCACAGCCCCTGCACATTTTCAAAATTATTGAATACATGATAATTGTGATCTAGGTGATGCCTAGATTTGGCAATAGATTAGGTACCACTGCACTCTGAGCTTTAAAAAAATGCTAGAATTTACTAGAGGGTTCCTCTTAGCACAAGATTGTACTAAGCAATAGTGGACAGACCATTAACTAGCGTATCTTCTACCAGAATATATTATTAAAGTGACAAGAAAGTAAATTGAAAGTTGACTTAATTTCTAAAGAAATCTTAACGTGTGTACAATTTTGGACCCTGATATTCACTAGGATCTTACTCTGACCTATGTATCTTGTTATTCTTTTTTGCCAAGCTAAATAAACAGCTTTTCCCAGCCCATTCTCTTCCTAGCAGGAATAGTAATTCCTGCTTTTATAAGACAATAATGCATGAATGTGAATTTTCTTTTTAACACATAAACCAGTACTTTCCATTAACAAATTTCATTCTTAATATAATGTTAAAACTATGATCACTCACTTGATTTTTGGTTTTTCTGAAGGTGCATGCTTGCATGGACAGTTGTTGAGTTAGGTGTTCCTGCAGAGGAACATTTGCTGGAGGTTTTTGTTGAGTCATCCTCTTCTACCTCCTCTGACAAATTTGGTTTTAGTTGGGATACATGTATCTAAATAGGAACAAACTAAAGCCAAGGACTGGGCCAGCAAATTCACAGTGCTTATCTATGGCAGACACTACAAAATAATCCCAGCATGCTTTTTCTCGAGTCTGGATAGGTGACCTGGAAATCCTCAACACAGCATTATAGACAATTTGCTACCAACTATAAGAAAACTTTTAAAATTTATTCTAGAACTTGTTCTTTATGTCTCAGATATATCTTCTTTTTTTGCCATTTTACTCATTCTCAAAAGAGCAACATATCACTGGGTTGAAGTAGTACTACCTTTCTACTGAATTAGTAATAAATCAATTTCTTACCTCCCAGAAAAGTCTCCTTTTATTGTCAGTTTAAGGCCTCTAGGAGCCTGTTTGTAGCTCTGTAAGATGGAGATAATCAGCAGCTAGCTACTTAAGAAATGTTAAGGATTATTCCTAAATAACAAAACCTATGATAAATAGAACAGAAAATATAAAGCCAAGTGATAGGATCAAAAATGTCAAAAGTGGCCAGATGAGGCCTGTAATGCTAGCATTCTGGATGGCTGAGGTAAGAGAATTGCTTGAGCTCAAGAGTTTAAGACCGGTCTGAGCAAGAGTGGGACCCTCCTCTTTATTAAAAATAGAAAAATTAGCCAGGAGTTGGTGGCTTGTGCCTGTAGCTTCGACTACTCTGGGGGCTGAGATAGCAAGATTGCTTGAGCCCAGGAGTTTGAGTATGCTTGCAAGATCTGGGTGTTAGGTGTGCCCACTGCTGTTGAGTTAACATTGCTTTGAGGTCTTAGTGCATTTACTTCTTTTATGTGTTAGACTTAAAGAAAAGCCCAACCCAACCAAAATTATTAATAGCAAATCATGGCCCATATGTCCAATAGAAATAGGTACTCGAAAGACAACACATTTAAGACATACTGAAGTGAAGCAAACAGCAAAATAACTGCATATAGATCTAAAGTAATTTGCACTAGAACTAAAGTAGAATTAGGGAGAACTTTTAGTAATCTCTTTTTGTATTATCTGAATGTTCTTTACAAAGATCACATACCACTTTTACTTATTTTTTTTGCAGTTTTTGGCTGGGGGCTGGGTTTGAACCCACCACCTCTGGCATAGGGGCCAGCACCCTCCTCCTTTGAGCCATAGGCGCTACCCGAGCACATAGTACTTTTAATAACAATTGTAAAAGAACATCAGATCAACTATATAAGACTAGGCAGAATAAAAGAATTTTAATTGATTCATCACAGAATCACTGAACAAAATGGTTAAGAATTTTAAAAAACAATGCAGAAAATAGTATTAAAATATTTGCATAATTACACACATTTTCACACTTCCACATTCCTTTTGGAACCCAGGCTTTTAAATTTTGAAACCATGTTAACTTACAGGTAAAAAGAATGCAGATGAACAGATTCTATAAAGAGTTATAACTGTGCTACTTACCTAGTTAGTCTTATTACCAGACAGTAGTTAAATGATCTTTTAGAATCAAAGGAATCTAAATTTTTTTTTTTTGCTTTACCAAGTAAGCGTGAAAGAATTATATTAGAAAAATGTGTGCATATTTAGGTATAGTTACATAATGTCATATTCACTGGTGTACCAGCTTAGATATATTTACTAACCTTGGTTCTGTTACCATAAATTTCATAAAGACTTTTGCCAGATGTCTCAGAAGAAGAAGGTACATTATTTTAAATAAGCAAAAAATTCAAAAATGAAACCAAATGAATTAGGAGCCATTTTGTTAATGACATCAATTCCCAGTAACAAGTTCCTAAAGTAGCACTATTAATATTTTCACACACAAAAATTAATGAAATAGTGTAATTGCAAAGTATAATTTTAATTAAACTTGATGACAGGTATATATATGATTTGATTTTCAAGAAGATTAAAACATTAAGCTATGAAATTCTGTTCTACATAAGTAGACATGGGATATCTTATTTATTCTTTGTCATCGTTTCTTGTTACAAATGAGAAAATACTTTCTAATTACATTCGGACTGAGTTGTAATAGAGAAGTGCCCATAAAGTGAGAATTTCATATATAGAATTCAGGAATTACCTTTAAACTTTGAGCATGGAAATTTTTTGCCTGGGTTTAAATGTAACTCTTTGCTTCTGATGTGGCATGAAATAACCCTGGTCTACAGGTATGCTTTATGAAAGACCAGATCGGAGCACATTTTCTCAGGACTTCTTGAGGCAATGTGCTCCTGGTTGGTCACACACATTCAGTTCAAAATAGACCTATTTAAATTAAACAAAACAAAGACCAACCAACCCCCCCCCCATAAAGATCAAATCAAATTTCTTTGTCTACACTTTTGAAAACACTTTGCTTTGTCAATTCTCTTTAGTAGGAGTCAAGTAATTTTTCAGTTCTAGCTACAAAGTTTTATAACAAAGGAATCAGAATGCTCATTAGTACATCACCTTGAAATTTCCCTCTTTGAATCCACAGGTAATCTTTAACAAATTTCAAATCATAAGAAACAAAACTATGGCAGGCTTGCATGCCTCTGTGTCTGAATCTCAGTATTGTATGACATTAAGGGGATTTTTGTACGTATCCACATAGTAACTATTTTATATTTGAAATCAACTTTAACTATTAAAATTGTATACCAGAAAATTAGGGGTGTTGCAGTACTTGGTTGCAAATAGCTTGCCATCTGGTGTTGGATCAGAGAATGCTATTTCATCAGTGCTGAGAAAACAGCCAAACATGAAACAATTCCTAAAAAAGAGGAAGACATGATTTAACAATGGAACCAATTGTTTTTGAGACAGAAATCTGTTTGTCCCCTGGACTAGAATTCAGTAGAGTCATCACTCACTACAAACTCAAACTTCTGGGCTCAAGCAATCCTTTTGCCACAGCCTCCCCAGTAGCTGAGAATACAAGTGTGCACCACCACACCTAGTTCCTTACAATGATACTCTAGTGGGACAGGCAGGTCCTTATTGTTGGTTTCCTGTTTATATGTGAATGATCTCTGCTCTATGTACTGAGTCCTGGGATGTGTGAGGCAGACAGCCACCATTAACCAAGTATGTCAACTTTTTCCTCCCTAGACCACTGGAAATAGCACCCATAACTGCCACGAATCCTCATTTTATTTTCATACCTGAGAGTATCTACCAGTCGTCTTGCAATGCGCTTTCTTCTCTTCAGTTTGAAAACCCAGATTCTACTTATCCCACAGACTGCAGGTTCTGGTACATTTGAACATTGCCATGCCCTCGGACATTCTTTAGAGCTTGAGGATTCTGGGCCAGTTGGTTCAGACAGGACCCGAAAGGCCTGCAATGATAAACAGAAGCATCTTTAACATCACAGATTGAGCTCACTGTTCTTTTCTTTCTTTCTTTTTTTTTTTTTTTGGAAACAGTCTCACTTTATCACCCTCCGTAGACTACTGTGGTGTCATAGCTCACAACAACCTCCAATTCTTGGGCTCAAGTGATCCTCTTGCTGCAGCCTCCCAAGTAGCTGAGACTACAGGCACCTGCCACAACACTTGGCTATTTTTAGAGACAAGGTCTCACTCTTGCTCAGCTTGGTCTTGAACCTGTGAGCTCAGGGCAGTCCACCCACCTTGGCCTCCCAGGGTGCTAGGATTACAGGCATGAGACACCTCACCTGGCCTAGCTCATGGTTCTTTTCAAAAAAAATTTTTCCTTATGCAAAACTCAAGTACCTACAATTAATTTTGTATCTTGGCCAAATTAGAAATGCTTTCATTTTTCTTAAATTCCAATTCAATTATAGTCATCCTATGCTTTAAAAAAAATCTATAGGGC